AAAAAAAAAAAAAAAACACATCTTAGTAAAACCAATACCTTCTCAGCTTCGCATCGAAGCTAATAAAAAAAAAATTATCCCTGCAATAACGTTAACTAATAATTAGAAACAATTTTTATAATTAAATAAGTTACGTATTTGGAGTTTGACTTCTTAGGCCAGTCAACGGAAAAGTAATTTTGGCGAATGGCGGAAAAAATTCCCAACGAAATTTTTTTTTTTAAAAGTTGAATTAAGATATACATAATGACATACTAAAAGTCCTCATCGATTGGACTTTAGCTTTTTTTTTTAGAGCCTCGCAAAAGTTAAAAAATATGAGCTTTTTTAATTTTCTCAAAAAATATTTAACTTACAAAAAAAAGTTTTGTACAAAAGTTGTTTAAAAGACAACTTTAAACAAAAAAGGTATCTTATATTTTTTCATTTAAACAAATATTTTTCGAAACCAAACCTCAACTTACCACGATATTATTAAATTTGAATCGTCTTGTTTAGTTTATCCACAAACTAATATTTTTGAAAACTCTTTCAGCCAATTCGTATTTGACAATGCTGATTTTAACTCATGTACTATTGATGGTTTAAATACTATTCATATAATGGGTGGTATATGCTGTTCTACACCAGCAACATCAGTTATTCCTAATGAACCTATACTCCTAGTTACAAAAACTTCCATCTTCAAATGAAATAAGCAAGTATGGTCAAGTACCTATTTTTTATTATGAAAAACAAGTTGAAAGTGGATTAAAAAATGTTGAAATTCGAGATCTCAACTAATTGGTTACATTTTTAAAAACTACAAAATACCTACAACCTATTGATGTTTTCTGGGCCTGTGGAAAATATATAAAAATTAAAAATTTGAGTAGTTGGAATGGCTATATGGAAAATGTAAGTCAAATTTCGCCTATAGACTATTCACTCTCACAAATAACTTTTTTACTATTTGTAAATTTACCAGCTCATAGTTATGATGCAATTTCAACAGTACTCCATTTTGCAGTAAAAAAATCAAATTAAATCAATCAAAAAACTACATTTGTTACTTTTGATTTGCCATTGTATATTAAAGCAAGAGATATAATTCATACTTAACGTAAAGAACTTTCAAACGTCATTGTTCAATGCGGGGGCTTTCATTTACTGATGACTTTTATGGGCTGTATTGGGTATATAATGTCAAATAGTGGACTTCAGGAAATGTTAAACACTATATATACACCAAATTCTGTAGAAAAACTACTATCTGACATCTATCCGAGCGCATTCATTAACGCATTTAGCTTTGTCAAAACTTATTTTTGAAAGAATTGATCTAACTGAAGATGAGTGAGTTAAAGTTCAAGAGTACTTTAATAATTACTTTGTGGATCCCACAAGTATGGAAAAAATAAATGAAGATATAACTTTTATTTCTATAACTAATAAATTTATAACCGAAGTTAGTTTAATTAAAAATCTAAGTCCAACAGCTGCGTTATGGATAAAATATTTTGAAATGGTTACATTAATGAAAAAGTTTATTCAAGCCGAAAAATTAGGTGACTGGTTTCTACATTTAACTTGTTGTAGAGACATGCTTCCTTATTTTCATGAATGCTGTCATACTCCATACGCTAAGGCTACTTATATGTATTTACAAGATATGCTTACATTAGAGAATAAAATGAATACTGCAGAATATTCAAAGTTTGTAAATAAAAGTTACTTTACTATTCGTCGCGTAGATAAAACTTGGTCTGGTATATAGACAGATATGACGATTGAACAAACTCTTATGCGGACAATGAAAACAGCTTGTAGTCTAACACATGGTAGAGGTATGAAGAATTGCGTAATAAATAAATGGATTTTGAGTATGCCTCTTTTAAATAATATATGTGCTAACATTGAAAATTTTGTAAATCTTTCTTCCAGTACAAGCGAAGAGCAACAATTATGTCAATTGCCACCGGAATTTCTGGTAATGATAAAGTAAATTGCCATAAAGCGTATGAAATTGGTCTTGTTTTAGTTAACTCAATGGTGGGTAATATATTTCATGATATAAAACTTAAAAGTTCAAATAAAGTTATAACTCTAGCTTCAATAACTTCTGGTATTGCTACTATTTCAACGAATCGCTATTTAAAAAAAAAAGTGATGAAGACCTTTTGTCATATCTTCAATTTGAACTCGCACCTTTCCCTTTGGCATTATTTGATGAAAACGGTCTTAGAAAAACAAAAAAATCTGCCTTATATGATATTTTACAGTACATACCTTTAGAAAGTTTATATATAGAAAGTATGTAATTGATGGAGAATTTTTCCTCCATAAAGTTATTTGGCAAATGTATCAAACAATTGAATTAATTTGTGAATCTTATGTTACTTATTAAAAAAAAAACTTTGGTGCTGATGTAATTGTTGTGTTTGATAGTTATCAGAATAATGTAAGAAGTATAAAAAGTTCAAAGCGACAACGTCGAAGGTTAAATAAAAAATGTGCTGATGTATTTTTTGAAAGCCATATGGTTGTTTATGTTTTAAAGGATAACTTTTTATCAAATGATAATAATAAAATTCGATTTATTGAAATGCTTAAAACTAAATTAGTATGCAATTAATTTGTTGTTAAAATAGCAAATGATGATGCTGACATATTAATTGTTAACACTGCAATTAATGTGACTAGTTATCATCCTAAAGTTATCGTGGTTGGTGAAGATGTTGAGTTATTAGTACTCCTCATCGTTTTAACTCCTAGTGAAAATAATATATTTTTTTTAAATTAAGCTTCGGCAATGAAGAAAAAAAAATGTTTAGTACTGAATTTATACAAAAAAATAATCCTTCATTGAACAATAAAATACTATTTTATCATGAAATAAGTGGATGTGAAACAACATCAGCCTTATTTCAAAAAGGAAAAAAAAATGTGTTCAAATTTTAGAAAAACGAGAGGACATAAATTCAATTATTTCAATTTTTAATAGACCTAATTCATCTCATGATGAAATAGCTCAAAATGGTATTCAGTGCTTGTTATATTTATATAGAGCATCTGAAAATGAAAAATCTTCGAATAAACATCGTTTTAATTTATTCACAAAATTTGCAACGAAAAATAAAACAAATCTTGCTTTACTCCCTTCGACAGAAGATATAGCAAGACAACACTCTTACTGAGTTTATTTACAAGTGCAGTTATGGCTGGGTCGCAAAAAAAATCCTGAAAAGTAGGGATGGTTTTTTCAAAATAATATTTTGTCCCCAGTTACAACATTGACCGACCAAATACTAAAAGCATATCATGCAGTTGTGCCAAAAGTTGTGGTGAAAATTGTGGCTGCCGAAAAACTGGACTTATATGTTCTATTATATGTGAATATTGCAAAGGTCAATGGTGTAAAAATTCAGTAGGAATAGAGATTGAAGATGAAGAAGACTGTACTTTTGTTGAAGATTTATTCGATCAAAATTTGGAGAAGGACAATGAATAACAAATATAAAAAAAATTGAAAATTTTAGTACTCTTATCATTATGTCTGATGTATGAATAATATGATAAAGTAATCATAAAATGGAAAAAAATCGAAAATAAATTTTAGTACTCATATTAAATGTAATGTAACTCGAAAAATATTTGTTTAAATGGAAAAATATAAGATATCTTTTTTGTTTATAGTTGTCTTTTAAACAACTTTTGTACGAAACTTTTTTTTGTAAGTTAAATATTTTTTGAGAAAATTAAAAAAGTTCATATTTTTTAACTTTTGCGAGGCTCTAAAAAAAAAAGCTAAAGTCCAATCGATGAGGACTATTAGTATGTCATTATACATATTTTAATTCAACTTAAAAAAATAAAAAAATTGGTTGGGAATTTTTTCCGCCATTTTTCCTTTGTTGACTGGCCTATCTAGAGACTAATGTTTTTTTTTATTCCCTTAAAATATATGAGACAATATCTATAATTGCTGTTTATGAAAAAGAAGTATTTTTTTTTTTTTTAAGATTTTTTATCGATATTTCATAGTAGGTAAGATCAAAAATAATTAATTTATCAAAATAATTAGATCCCTCTGAAAAGATACCCCAGTTGATTGTTCCCCTAACGGCATATATATATATGAGAGAACCAAATTGGCTAACACGAAAGGGCCTAAGTTACAAATTGGAACTATTTGGTAAAAGAGACAAATTTACCAGCACTATAATAGCAAGTTGGGCTTGTGATGGAATTATACTGTGACGATAGCAACGTGGCAAAGTCAGCAAAAATCCGAACCAACCCGGCGAGTTTCCACCTGCTATAAGGTTATTATGTCCATTACCTCTTGAAGGCAACAGTTTGGAGCCGGTTTATAATTTATTTAAATTTATTAGTCATTATATTTAATATGTAATATGTTATATGTATATTTGGTGAATCCCATTTGAGATAAATTATTAACTTTTTTAATAATGTTTTTGTTTATAACGTTTACTTGTACACTAATGATCGTAATTTTTGTGGATTTATTTATTATGATTTACGTACTAATTTGTTGCCAAATTTGTTCCTATTTTATGTAAAATAAATATATATCAATTTTCGTACTAAAGTCTTATTTAAAAAGTATTTAATATCTTTTAGTAATAATAGATCACGCCTGAATAGTTATTATTATAACTTAATTTATTACGATATGACAATTATTTAATCTACATAAAGAAATAACATTTAGAAAAATATGTTTATTCAATAAAATTAGAATGAGTGTTAATTTTTGCTTAAAAGGCCCAATTGTAAAGATGCAATTTAATTATTTAAGTTAATTCAATTTCAAATTGTGATTGAATATGGGTCTACATTTTGTGAAATTAAATTATTTTTGTTTCACATTGCTTACACTAGTGAGTGTTATGAATGCACTCATAAATGAAAACAAAACTGTACCTAAAAAATTAAAAGATAAAGGTAGGTTAATATTTAAAATAAATTTACTAATATGTTCTTTGTTATTTTTACTTTTCTTATATATTTATGTTTTATCAAAACATGTTAAAACATATTTTAATATTTAGTGTGTTCAGTAAATAAAGAAACGGGTTATTATCGTTCTCATTGTTTGTAACAATTGACCAGTTTCTTTACTAACTGAACATTATATATATATTCATGTATATGTTTAATAAATCTATTATAAACAGTGTTATAATTATTTTAATTATGATATTTAAAGATGTATTTTTACTGTAAAAAATAAATGGGTTAAATTTACATGAAATTCAATGAAATTGTAAATTATGTTTAAAACTTGAAAAAAAAACCATAAAATGATTATTTTTATTTCTGTAAACAAAATTTAAATTTTATGCTATTATTTTACCGTAAAAAATATAAAAAATGATAGCACAGTGGGTTCGCAGCACATTGTCGACGTGGCATAGTTGGGACAAGTATAGATCATATCTGACAGTGATTAAAATCACTATCATAAGAAATCTGTAGATAGTGTTGAATTTTAAGAAATTGAAGGATTATTCCAAAAGCAAAATTAACTCATGTTTCCTTCATTATTCCTAATTAACAGATCTTTGATTTATAAGTATAATATATGAATAAATATTTATTATAGCAATACAACACAATATGAAATTGATATTTTATAATTTAGTATTGTAATTATTACAGAAAAATTAATAGAAAAATATAAAGTAGTTGTCACTTTTATGGAAAACGTGTATAAAAATTGAAGAGCTTGATACAAAACTTTTCAGAAGATACTTTGTTATTAGTTATGTATAAAATATCTACAAGGAATTTTAATCAGAGTCAAAAATATAATTTTCTAAACCCATTTTTCGCGCTGATTTCAAAGCTGCAAATAATTTTTTTCGTTACCACTAATTTTTGATATTATTAATAATTATTTAAAAACGAGTATTAACATATAAAAAAATATAGGTTAAAATAAAATTCAAAACACAACAGCGAACGAAATCATAATTAAAAATAGGAACTGTAGGATACACGTGGGACGTCCAGAAAGTGAAGATACAAGGCTTACCAAAAATACACAAAACCATTTTATTTTAAAAAAATTACATAGCATTAAAGGTTTATATCCAATTATTTTTCGACTTATTCGCCATTAAGTTCCAAACCCTTATGATAACTTGGGATGAGTTTTTGCATGCCGGCGCTGTATTCCGTTCGCGCCACTTCCTGTATCCATGTGGTCGTGTATTGTTTGAAGTCCTCATCATCGTCGAATCTTTTCTCTCCTAAAGCTTCCTTCAACTTGGTGAAGAGATGGTAATCACTGGGGACCAAGTCAGGACTGTGAGGTGAATGGAACAAAATGTCCCAACCAAATTTCTGCAGTAATTCTTGCGTTGTTCAAGCAGTATGGGGGCGAACGTTATCGTGAAGAAGATACTTCTTTTGCCAGCATTCCCGTCTTTTGTTCTTTATGGCACTTCTTAATTTTTTAAGGGTTTCACAATATGCTTGTGCAATAATGGTAGTGCCACGGATCATGTAATTGACTAGGATACCCCCTTCCTGTCCCAAAAAACGGATGCCATGACTTTCTGAAATGAGGGAGTTGTTTGGAATTTTTTGGCGCTGGGAGAATGTGTATGGCGCCACTGCATCGATTGTCTCTTAGTTTCTGGCGTCGTGTAGAAAATCCAAGTTTCATCCCCTGTCACTATATTGTCTAAGAATTCCTCTCCTTGTTCGTCATGACGTTCCAAAAACATTTTTCTTGCCTCAATCCTCTTCTGTTTGTGTTCTTCTGTGAGCATTTTTGGGACCCAACGAGCACTCAGTTTCATGTAATAAAATCGATTCGAGATTACTTCATTCAGATCGAGAAACACGTGGACACTTCTCTAGAAGTTCGTCGAGAGTCAAACGACGATCTTCACGGATGAATTCTTCGACATTTTGGATGAAATTGTCGGTCATCAAAGACAGCCGGCCGCTTCTTTCCTCATCGTGCACACTCTTTCTTCCTTCTCGAAATTCTCGTACCCTTTTGGTGACGATTTGGCAATTCATAACATTTGGTTCATATGCCTTGACAAGTCGACGATGAATTTCAGTGGGAATGACTCCTTCTTGAGCGAGAAAACGGATCACACGTGAAAACCTCTCACGGACAAAGAATGTAACGTACTAAAACCGTTCTGGTCTAAGCTTGTTCGCAACATATCACTGAAAATTGCAGTAGTACCAATGCTCAAAAAAAAAAAATTCACTGTGGCCGTGGGGGGCTTGTATCTTTACTTTCCCTCGTAACTCGTAAATATTTCAATTATAGCATCTTTTTATATGCCAAGAGTTACTAAGACTAATGATTACCAACACTTCTATTTAAATTATTTATTACAATAAAATTAAAAAAAAATAGTGCTTTTAACGAAATTTTGAGTTTTTCTTATAAATTTATTGTTAATAGTAATTATATAATTTCCTAATCAATCTAAAAATTACAATTTTTTAAATTCTCCTAAAATTTTCTATTTAATGATATCAAATCTGATTGACAATAAACACTCCGTGTCTGTGACAGTGATGTCATAAAAAAACAATTAGCTACCTGTAATAATCTCTTATGTATTATACATGTATATTAACTCAAACATTTTAAATTTTAAATATTTATATCTTATAAAATAATAAAATTTTATTAAAAATTCAAATGTCATTTAATATAAAATTGAAACATTTTATTAAATGTATTACAGCTTTCATGTATTGTCTTGTTGCTTGAAATGCTTAAGGATGTATCCATGATAACAGTATCAGTATAGTTGCAGCCACTGACTAGCAACCATCACTAGAAGATGGACTCTGCAATAAGTCCGAAACGTCAGAACTCAAATGTAAAATTTGGATACATCCTTAAACACTTCAAGCAACATTTTATTAAATTCAAAATATGTCTTTCCATTACAAAAAATAAATTTAACACCCTTACAAGGCATAAGGGATGAAATTAAAAAGTATCTCATAGTTAATAATCCAAGAATAATGTGTAACTAAAGAAAACAAAAAAAAATGTTAATATTATATTTATTCTATATGATATAAAAGTCATCCTTTATAGATTATATCTCTATGACTAGTTCGTCCTCCAGAATCTGTAATCATCCTAGACTTTTTTTTATGTGCCAAAGAAATTAATTGGTCGCTCTTTTAATACACACTGAAAACCAATAAATTAATAAATAGTTAACGAAAAAATGATTAAATGTTTCTAATAATAGTATAATGTTATTTTAATGATAATAATATATAACAATGATAATAAATATTTATTTCATTTCAATTTATACGTAAATCGAGTTTCAAAAGCTGAATTAAATATTTTTTAATGGTTATTAAAGTGAACCTTTTTTTTGATGGTACAAAAAAAAAACAAATTATTGAGCGTCCCGGTCGGCCATAGTCGGCTGTAAAGTATATTTTATATTATAATTTAGCAGTGTTTTTTCGAAAATTAAAGTAATTTTATTTAAAATGTGTTAAATAAATTAATTTCAAATAATATTGATTGTGTTAAAAAAATTTTTAAAACCACAATTAATGTAATTTTTACGTAATATCTTCATAACAAAAGAAGTTACACTTCATCCGCGCGTACTCGTAACACGCACTGATTTTTATTTATTAGTTTTTTTCTATTTCAGAGGATATTATATGTGCGAGGTGTAACAAAAATTTAGCATTGACCCTTTGTTATAAATGTAGAACTCCACATTGTCACGATTGTAGAGTTAACAGTAAAATAATTAAAATAGGTTTTTGTCCAGTATGTGTTAAAATGGGTAAGTTTTTCAAGTGAATCTTAACAATTAAAATATTAAAAATACGTAACAAGTAGAATGTATTATGTACAGTATATCAGTATAAACGATTATAGAATAATTATTAAACTAATTAAGTTCTGAATATTTCAATTGTAGCATGAACACCAAGAGTTACTTAGAAATGACTAATAGTAAATAGTAATTTTAACGAAATTTTGAGCTTTTCTCATAAATTTACTATTAATAGTAATTTTATAATTTCCTAATCACAAATCAATCTAAAAAACACTGCACAGGGGGGTCGCGGCACAGTGGTGACGTGGCATAGTTGGATCAAGTATAAAGATATCTGACATTGATTAAAATCACTATCCAAAAAAAACGCTTCGATGCAAATCTTTAGATAGTATTTAATTTTAAAAAATTGTTGGATTATTCCAAAAGCTACATGAGCTGATACTTCCTTATTATTAACCTGATTAAGATAAAGTATGTCGAATAAAAAAGGTATTATTAAAAAATATTATTTCTCATAAAAAAATTATGTTGATCTATACACTTTTCAATAAGTTATAGCATTATAAAGATAAAATTTAAAAAAAAAATTGAGAATTTTCACACAATAATAGCATTTGGTAGCCATTTTCACCGTGAAGACAAAATAAAGTCCGAAATTTTTTTTTTCATAATAAAACATTACATTAGCTTTAATTTAAGATATATATAAAAGTTTCCGGACTTTCCGGAACATTTTCAAAAGTCAAGCTGAAAAAGTTGTCATTTTAAATCCTACCCGGGCAGGTTTAGGGTGAAATTTATAAAAAAAATATACCAAACGAAAGGTATTGATATTACACATCTATATAAAATAAAATTATATTGATTTGTTCAATTTTGAAAAAGTTATGGCAGTTTTAAGTAAAACAAATTTAAAAAATGTAAAAATAAACGATTTTTAAATTTGTAATTTTTTTGGAGGTTTCCCCCATTTACGGGAAACGAGGGAAATTTTTTCAATTTTTGAGGGTAATGTGTTCGATTAGATACGATTTGTGATCTTTTGACGTATCATTGAAAGAAATAGGTTCGGTGAGAGCTGAGAAAAAGTGGTAACAGACACAAAAAAAATAAATAAATAAATAAACACATCTTATTAAAACCAATACATTCTCAGCTTCGCATCATAGCTCAAATACAATTTTTTTAATTCTCCTAAAATTTTCTATTTAATGATATCAAATCTAAACTAACAAGTTAAGCTAAAATAGTGTTTAAATGTTCAAATTTTTAAACTATAAAATTTCAAAAAAATCAACTTTAAAGGACCAAAAAAATTAATTGTAAAGTTTGAGGGATATATTTTTCAATTTTTTAACTCGATACGATCTGTGATCTTTTAACATATTGTTGAAAGAAATCAGTCCAATTATTGCTAAGAAAGTGGCGACAGACATAAAAAACACATAAAAGTAAAATAAATACCTTCTCAGCTTCATTCATTGCTCATAATTTTGAGTAATATGATTAAACTAATAGCTAATTTGAGATCATTACTTTTTTGTTTAATTTGGAAAGTAATATTTGTAGTTTTAAAATCCTCCTGTAAAACTTTATATATAACATATCAATTCTCCCTAATTATGTAATTTAATAATTTAGCATTAATAATAATGAATTTTTGTTTTAGAATACGAAAAAAAAAAAAAATTGGAATCTTCATTAAAATGTAACTAAATTTCTATTTTAAAATTTAACTATTTTATCTAACTATTTAAAAACAAAATAATTAAGCTTGATTAACTAAAAAATTTTTTTTAAGTTAACAAAAAAGAAAAATGAATCAGCTATTTATAATGTACCGTAAAACATAACTTTTTTATGTCACGGTATCTTCTACTAAAAATCTATTTAGAAATAAAAAAAGATACTGTAGTTTTTCTTATTATAGTTAATCAAGTATCAATTAATTTTTAATTTTTAATTTAGCAAAAAAAATTGTCAAGCCGCATGATTCTTCAGTAGAAGGTAACTAACTTTTTTATAAACTTTAAAAACAATTTTTCATTAAACATTTACATTAATGAATCAATTTACTCTAATCGTATATTAGAGATTAAATTAACAGGTGTGTTGTAGTTTTGACGACACTATATCGTATTTTGTTAATTAGTGCAGTGAAGTTAATTGAGGCGTCAACAACATGGTTATATTTGTGTTTTCCGTGTATATTTTACGGTTAAAGTGCGTCCTATGGTTTTTGTGTTTTGCAGATAACGAGTGGAACTATGGAATATGGATAACTATAAATATTGAGTAGGATTAAATCTTTATTATTTCTCCATATTCAAGTACATACAATGCCGACACATAGTTACCTAATTTAAGTTAATATTATATATATTATTCTGGCTGTAATTTGTACAGATCACGAGTGGAACTGATAGCCAATCCATATATGGATAACTATAAATATTGAGTAGGATTAAATCTTTATTATTTCTCCATATTCATGTACATACAATGTTGACACAAAGTTACCTTATTTATGTTAATATTATACAAATTATTGTGGCTGTACATATCTGTAGGGTGTTTAAAAAACAACTGTTTATTCCATCTAAAATATTTCATGAGTCCAATGTAAATTTTACAATTTTTGGTGTTTATTATGAATAAAAATAGCTTTATTATATAGTACATTACGTTAGGACTATTCATAGGGGTATTAAACACATAACAACCCTGCGAATGTGATAGTGCGAAATGTTAATGTTAAAGGATGCATTATTTTTACCATAGCACATAGATAGTAATTCTTTTATGTTAAGCACCCTGCTTGTCTATAACTAAACATTAAATTAACTTAAAAAGTAATATTAATACAAAACTGGTCGTCAACAAGTTATCACTAATAAAATGTTTTAGCATTTTATTTAGATCAATTGATTGGGTTCTCAAACGACATCCAATATTATTTTTCGCTATGTGTTCTGAATCTTTCTGGGGAACTGTGATATCTAGATGTATAACCAGCAACCACCTTACAACTCCTCTCAACCGTTTCTCTAGCGTGCGTAAGCTGATATAAATCAAAACTACAATCTAGTGGGTTGCACAACTAGCTGACCTACGGACTTGATTTATCGTACAAAAAATATTTAATAAATACAGTTATCTAGTTGGTTAAAAAAAAACAATTTGTTCAGTGCAAGCAAATTCTCACTACTGTTTTAAATAATATTTTTCTTTCAACATATATTTTATCAATTAATTATAAGTAAATATATTTTTAAAAACAAAATTATCATTGCTTTAATAAAAAATCACAAAACAATGCATTGTATAAAAGCTATCATATATTAATATAATATGTATCCCACCATGTGCAGTGGAAGTACTCCACATTTGTTTAATAACGCAGTTATGTTTGAAGCAATGCAAAATTTACCAAGGTATTGCAATATTGTGCAAGTACTTGTATGTTAGTTTATGAATAAAGATTTTCAGGAATTCAAAAAAAAACTTGAATGATTATAATGATTACAAAAAAAAAAAAACCATCACAGTTGTGTCGCGGCATAGTGGTGATGTGGCATAGATGGCTCAAGTATAATGATATTTGACAATGATTAAAATCACTATCATAAAAAACGCTTCGATTCATATATAATAAAGTATATTACATTAGCTTTAATTTAAGGTATATATAAACGTGTCAGACTTTTCAGAACACTTTCATAAGTTAAGTTGAAAAAGTTAATTTTTTGTAAAAATGTTGTCATCCCCACTGTGGGCAGGTAAAGGGTCAGATCTATAAAAAAAATACACCAAATGATAGGTAAAGATATGAATAATAAAAATTATAATAAATTGGATATTTTAAAAAAAATTATGGCAGTTTTGAGTAAAAAAAATTGTAAAAATTTTGAAAAATAAGTGATTTTAAAATTTGAAATTTTTTTGAGGTTTCCTCCATTTATGGAGACTGAGGGAAATTTTTTTCAATTTATGAAGGTAATGTCTTCGTCTAAATACGATTTATGGTCTTATGAAGTATCGTTGAAACAAATCGGTACAGTGACAGTTAAGAAAAAGTGGTAACAGACACAAAAAAAAACACATCATAGTAAAACCAATACATTCTCAAGTTCGCATCGAAGCAAAAATATCGACTTATTAATAATAACTTCATAGATTATTTAGACTCTATTCAATAAAAATGAATTAAAAAATAATAATTTCATATTAACAAAAAGTGAAAGAGAGAGAGAGAGAGTAAAGTGAGTAAATAATTGCAAAATTGTGTGGAATAAATTTGCTAGTGTTGTCAAGAATACTGTAAAGGAGATTGTTGGTGAGAGAAGGAGTAGAATGCCAGGAAACAAGGAAACCTGGCGGTGGGACGAGGACGTTCAAAAAATTATAGAAAGTAAGAAAAAGCAATTCAAAGTATAAGTGCAAAAGGAGATAAGACTGGATGGAGTATAAACGCTTGTGCATAAAAGACAAGTGTACAATAAGTAAGGCCAAGTTAAAGAGGTATATTGAGTTGTACGATAGGCTAGGAACAAAGGAAGGCGAGTAAGAAATCTATAGACTTGCAAAGATAAGAGAGAAAAGGTCTAAAGATTATCATTATATGAGGTATATAAAAAGCGTTGATAATAAAGTACTCTCGAGTGATGATGATGTGAAAAAAGGTGGAGAGAGTATTTTGGAAAATTATTAAATGAAGAGTACCCAAAAGAGACATTAGAGGATATCTCGTGGAATGAGGAACTGGTAAATTTAATTAGTGAGAAAGAGGTATGGGAGGCTGTGACATCAGTGAAAAAGAATAAAGCAGTAGGACCAAATTAATTGCTAGTAAAAGTATGGAAAATATTAGATGGTGTTGGTATAAGGTGGTTGAAGGATCTTTTAAATAAAATCTTATTAAAAGGGATAATACCAAATGAATGGAATAGTGCTGTAGTGCCGATATTTAAAGGTAAGGGAGACATATAGAAGTGTGAAAATTGTAAAGGCATAAAGCTTATGAGTCACAGTATGCAAATTTGGAAAAAGGTAATAGATAAGATAATAAGAAATGAGACATCGGTATCTAAAAACCAGTTTGGATTTATGCCTGGTAAGTCAACAATGAAGCCAGCATTTTATTTGAGGCAACTTATAGAAAAGTTTAGGGAAAAGAAGAAATAGTTGTGTATGGTATTTATAGATTTGAAGAAAGCGTATGATAGAGTACCGAGAGAGGTTTTATAGTGGGCATATAAAAGGGAGTATACGTGTAGTGTCAATCGTGAATAAGATGAGAGAAAATGGACTTAGATGGTTTGGTCATGTTATGAGGAGAGAAGAATCGGAAGCTGTAAGAACAGTTATAGAAATGAATGTTGAAGAAACAAGAGTTAGAGGAAGACCAATAAAGAGATTGAGGAATGCTATTGAATGCGATTTGAGGACAGCTGATGTGAGTGTAGATGATGTAGGAGATCGTGTCAAGTGGAAGTTTGGGATAAGGTTGTTCGACCTCAAGTAGTTGGGATTAAGGCGAGTAAGAAGAAGATTAACAAAAAGTTAATGTATTCAACACAAACTTATGCAAAATCATTTTCGAAGTGTTATAATACATTATATTCTCTCATCTATAACTTCTATTTTGTTGTTAAAGTATGGAAGGTTTAAAGTTGTTTATAATGACAGTAATCAGATTCTTAAGCAAGGGTTAATTAAGAGAGAAAATATGTTTTTATAGTTTTTAAGAGATAGTAACATGTTACTAATTCATACATTAAGAATATTAAGACAAAACTACTGTCATTAATCTGATAATTCAAATTTTATAATACTATAGAGTTTTCTTTATAAAATTGTTTACATTCTTATAAATAGTCTTGACCCAGATATGAATCATATATTTTTATAGTTTTTATAACCTATAAAATTTGATATTATCCTACCTACAAAAAATATACTAGAGGTACTCCTCTAGTGATACCGATTCTAAAAGTGTAACACATATTCTGATTTCTTTTGATAGCTTTGGAAATATAGTCATTTAAGTACGAATGTCTGAATACTGTTGAGCCAGAACTTAAATATTCTTATGTTAATAAATAATAAATTTATTTTAGCTTCGATGCGAATTTTACTATGATGTGTTTTTTTTTTTTTTATGCCTGTTGCCACTTTTTCTCAGCTCTCACTGGACCAATTTCTTTCAATAATACTTCAAAAGATCACAAATCGTATCTAGTTGAAGACATTACCCTTAAAAATTGAAAAAATTTCCCTCGTTCCCCGCAAATAGGGGAAATATACAAAAAAATTACAAATTTAAAAATCGGTAAATTTTGTCATTTTTTTCACTTTTTTTCTTAAAACTTCCATAACTTTTTCAAAAATAAACGAATCAACATAACTCTTTTTTATACTAAAACCTTAGATATTTCCCTTTTATTTGATATCATTTTTTTGAAAATCTAACACTTAACCTGCTCATAGGGGGGGGGATTTAAAATAGCACCTTTCTTACAAAAACTAACTTTTTCAACTTAATTTTTGAAAATGTTCCGGAAATACTGCGTCCTTTAAACATATACCAAATTAAAGCTTATTTCATGTACTATAAAATGAAAAAAAAAAGATTTGTCCCGACGACCTTTCTTCTATGCGCAAATGGCTACCGTATTCAAAATAATATACAGCTACTTTATTATTTTTATAATTTCTCCGTATAAATTGCAATACTAAATTATTGAACATCAATTTCATACTAAATTTAATAATTATATTTAGTATTTATTCATATATTATATTTTAAAATCAAAGACCTACTAATCAGGATATAATCAAAGTAATAAGAGTTAATGTTGCTTTTGGAATAATCCACCAATTTCTCTAAATGAAACACTATCTACAGATTTGCATCGAAGCGTTTCTTACGACAGTGATTTTAATCACTGTCAGATATCATCTATACTTGTCCCATCTATGCCTCATCCACACTGTGCCTCGACCCCACTGTGCTACCGTTGTTTTTTTTTTTTAAATTACACTCTTGCTTTATTTTATTTAGTAAAGTTCTTGCATTATTTTTTCATTGATTAGAATAGAAAAAATATATTTTCAAATTAAAATGTAAATTTTTAAATAAAATATTTTAAAATCAAAGCTAACATAAAAGTACCCAACAGCTTAGAAGTTATTTTGAACATTTTTTTTAGTTATGTCTATGCTAAAAATTATCAATAAATACATAACTTTAAATAAATTTATAGAACCAGCTATAATAGAAACTGTGTGTGATTTGAACAACGATAACGAATCAAATATGAAATCAACTTTTGAAAATTGGATGGTAGGACTTGAGGACAGTGTATCTTACAAGGATTTTTTTGAATATTGTGTCAATGAAGGTATAATTTCATAATATTTATATACAGATTATTTCTGTTATCGTAAACAACTTTATTAATTGAAAATAAAAATAGTTTTAGGAAGTTTTTTGGTTTTTTTAAGTTATATATTAAGCTCAATTTGTGAATAATGAAGTATTTTTTATGTTCATCCATTATGCCTTAGGGCATATGGGTAGTAACTTTATTTTTGTAAATAGGAGCATACGTAGTTTACTAGCTTACTTATTAGAGAATGATCAAACTAACTAATCAAAAAAACTTTTGTACCAAAATTTATTCATATGGCTGGAGGTGATGCGTGGGTGTTACAATTTTTGTCACTGAATATTTCTCTGCTTCACTCCTCCTCCTACACAGGGCTGGATTTAGGACTAGGCTAACTAGGCAATAGCCCAGGGGTGCCACAACTTGAAGAGGCGCTGTGGCCGGCAAAACTTTTGATTTTTTTTAGATATAAATCCTTTCTGTGAATTTAATTTTCCATCTACTAGAATTAATGTAGTTATTTTGGTAAATTAGTTGCTCGTTATTGTAAAGTTATAAAAATAGCACGGAATATATTCTACAATATATATATATATATGTATATATAATGTGATTGGGGAGGGTAGTTACGGCACGACGGTATACATTATCTAAAATAATAATCGGCGATGGCGATCGTATAAATTGTGTCGAGCAACCAAATCAAGGAAACGTCATACCTATTATTAATTTATGATTCTTATTTTTTATAACGGTGCAAATTTTTGTTGTTTACATTAATAAGTTGACAACTGTATTTACTAAATTAACCGTTTATTAACAGAATAAAAATATAATTATTATTTTTTATTATTATTCAATATTTATAATTTATACACAATTGATTTTTTTATCATCATAATAATTATGATTAAATTATTTAAACTGCAAAATTTCAATACATAATTTTTTTACGTTGACTTTTAAATACTTTTAAAATAACTATACATTATACATTAGGAAATACAAGTTTTTAAGTTTTTGGGTAAATCCGGCCTTGCTCCTACATTTGTAAAAAAATTCTGAAATATTAGTCTAAAAGTTATTATGAACTAGTCATTTTCTTAAGTATAACATTATCTAATAAAAAAAAAATCACTTAAAGGTACAGAATAATTATGAGATTTACGTTAACATAATCCCTCAATGAACTTTCTAGATATATTTGAACTTTTACAAGATCTATTTCTATTATAAATATATTAAGTAATGTAGGGAGGCCTGCAAATCAGTTTTTTATTATTTTATCTAACTAATTTAACATAAATATTTTTCATAATGATAATTTTAATTATTTTTTTTGTTTTAGAAAAACTATCAGAAATTGATGATAATATCACGAAAGATAATAACAATCCAAAAATAATTGACAACGAATAATTACTTTTTTAACATCATTATATATAAAATATTTGCTTAATTTATTATTTTTGTTAAGAATGTAATAAATTTTTGCCAACATTAAAATTTCAAATAAATCAAATTAAAGTTCGTTAAAATTAAAATAATTCTGATTCTCTCCATTTTTATCATAACAAAGGTATAAAATTAAAGAGAAAAAATAAAAAATGTACTGAATATTGAATATTTAATAAAAATTAAATTCTTTTCACATAAAATATGTTTAAGTAGGCATTATAGGAGTGGCTAAAAAGGTTCAATAACACTAGTTTCCAAATAATAATTTTAAATCTAGCCACTCTATTTCTCTTAGAATAAAAATAATGCTAAGCATTATTTTAGTATCCTATAGTTCTCGAATTATCAGTTATTAATTACTTTTAGCTTCGATGCGAAGGTAAGAAGGTATTTATTTTACCATGATGTGTTTATTTTTTTTTTAATCTGGTTTTTTGTGTCAGTCATTACTTTTCTCAGCTCTCGGTGGACCGATTTTTCTCAACGATACGTCAAAAAATCACCAATCGTATCTAATTGAAGATATTAAACTCAAAGATTAAAAAAATTTCCCTGGTTCCCCGTAAATGAGGACATCAATGTAATTTTGGTAATTAATTAATTTTGAAAAACAAACAAACCAAAATAATTTTTTTATATAAACACCTTACGTATTTCCTTTTTTATTTGATATAAATTTTATGGTAAACTGATCCTTTAGCTGCACACAATAGGGGATTTATAATAGCAACTTTTTTACAAAACTCAATTTTTTTAAATTGACTTTTGAGAATGTTCCGGAAATACTGCGTCTTTTAAACGTGTGTCAAATTAAAAATTATGTTATGTACTATAAAATAAAAATTGTCCCAACGACTTATCATCTACGTCCAAATGATTGCTGTATTTAAAAAGCATGCTATATTTTGTGCCCAAATTTTATTTTTATTTTAACATACTAACTATTACTAGCTAGTAAAAAATTAGTATTGACATATAAAAAAATTGGTTTTCAAATTATTACTGATTTTTATTTTTAGCTTCAATGCAAAGTTGAGAAAGTATTAATTTTACTATAATGTGTTTTTTTTTAATTGTTTAATTATTTTTTTTTTTTATATTTTCACTACTTTTTCTCAGCTCTTACTTAACCGATTTTTCACAACGATTCGTCAAAAGATCAAAAATCGTATGTAGTTGAAGAAATAACCCTTGAAAATTGAAAAAAAAATTTCCTCATTGCCTGAAAATGGGGTATATCTCTAAAAAAATTACAATTTTATAAATCAGTAATTTTTGACTTTTTTTTTCTTAAAACTACTATAATTTTTTCAAAAATGAACAAATCAACATAATTTGTTTTTATATTATGCCCTTAAATATATTTTTTTTATTTGATATCATTTTTTTAAAAATCTAACACTTAACCGCTGACATGGGGAATTTTAATATAGCAATTTTTTTATAAAACTCAACGTTTTCAATTTAACTTTGAAAATGTTCTGGAAATATTGCGTCTTTTAAACATTTATCAAATTAAAGCTTATGTCATGCACTATAAAATGAAAAAAAAATTTATTCCGACGACTTATCTTATCATAAGCTATGGCATTTTATTGCTTTCTTTGAGATATGATGGATGTGTGGACCGCATGCAAATAGACAAGAGATATGTTTTTGAAAAAGTCATAAAAAAATCTAGTGAATCATTTTAATATTTCCTTGGGATAAGTGAACCAACTTGTCAAGGTACTTGGTGCAATAGAGAACGCCATCGATACAACTGTAGGAGAAGGAATGTCTAGACAACTATTTAATAACAGACAACCTCTTTAGTAACAGATGGAGCAACAGTGAACACTGATTGTAGAGCAGGTTTGTGGGAGCTCTTTAGGAACAAGTACAAGGTTAACTCAAATGTTCCTTTGATTACAATATGGTGTGCAGCACACAGATCGGATTTGGCTTTCAAGTCGAGTAGCAATTGTGTTGGAGAATTTAAACATATTTTTTCAGAGTTTGTTGGTTTAAGCTCATTTCAACACTCTTCCAGCTTAAGAACTAAGCATCTACATCAGGCGGCCGAAAAAAATAAATGCACTCTTTCGCGGTTGCCTCGTTTATGTGAAGTGTGGTAGTCCGAATTTTCGTTTGATTTAATCAATTCAATTTTGGTTTCTTGGAATGCTTTAATATTGTTCTTAAAAGATTGTCCTGATAAAGAGGCAAGATGATACAGACTTTTTTTTAATCAATTATGACAATCTACAAATCCTGGCATTTATTGCATACGTATTGATTGTTTTCAGCAGATATCAGAAAAAACTGCAGTCTGATACAATTACAATTTTGGACATGGACAAAGAGACAGTGAACGTTATATGCAGGCTTAAAATATTAAAAACTGATGTGTTGCTTGATGGATGGGTGACAACATTTAAAGAACAGTTAGAAATTCATAGTGAAAATGAGGTTTTACTAAAAGGAGAAGTCTTAACAAGAAATCGAAAACGTCATTTAAAGGAACATCACAAGTTTGTTACTCGGAATAGAAACTACTCCACAAACTGCAATGAACTTTTGGATTCTTTTGTAAATTTTTTGCAGGAGAGATTCGATATTTATGCGGATACTGTTAAAATTTTAAAACCATTCACTGAGATAGAACCATCCGTTGATATGAAAGCAGTTCATAAATTGATAGGAAGCGACTTAGATTTTGCTGAACTTTCAATAGAATATTCGGAGCATCTCACGCATCAAAATATTGAGTAGTTCAAAAAAATCAGTTTGAAAGAAATTTTCAGGCTTTAGTGACGAAAAATTTTTTTCCCAATGTTTCTGTTATTATGGCCAGAATTGTTGCAGCAAAACCTCATTCCGCTGATGTTGAAAGAGTGATTAGTGTGAAAAAAAGTAATATAAGGGAATATTTATAAGTGTAAATGATAACCAAAAAGATTCGCAAACCGAAGAAAAAATAGAAAGTTTTGAGTTTCGTTTGTACTGATTTTAATTTTGAAATTTATTTTTTTATTATTTATTTTTCCGTTTCCTTTTTTGAAAGTTATAGGATTTATTGTAATAATAAAACACTAGTCTCCATTGAATGTAGCACTTTTTTTTACCTACACTAACCTACCAAAGTCTTTATGAAATTTTATGTTTTAAAAAACGTTTTTACTAAAATAAAAAGCTAAAAAAATGTTGGCTCGAAAGGGGCTCCGCCCCTGCAAGACCACCGCATAGCTCTGTTATCCGAAAAGTATTTCGTGATGCATAACATAAAAAAAGAACAAATGTAGTAGAAAAAATACCTTACAATAAGACATGGTGTAAAAAATCAATGTTTTTTTCGTAATTATAACTGTCATAACTTTTTGAAAAATTAACGAATCAACATAATTTATTTTTATATTAAAACCTTATATATTTTCCTTTCATTTAAGGCGTCTGAGTACCGACCTTATTTCAGGGGTTGAATATAGGCAATTTTGCGGTTTTTACATGTTACGCAGTGTCGTTGTGTGAGAAATAAATGATTATTAGTGTGAGTGTCCATTATTGGAAGTATTTTCGTCGTGTTATAGTCGATAACAAAACCGGTTGTGTACCTACTTTACTTTTTTATGCAATACGATTATATTGATAACTACGCAGGTTTATTTTATGTAGTATAAAAACTATAGTTTAGCACCAGCCTCACTGTAAATACTTATAGACGCGTCATAATTTCACAAATTTTAATTGATTATAGAAATATTAAACTATTTATTTTTGACGAGTAAGAAAAGCTAAATATTTACAGAAAACAAGTAAAATCATATGAGATCCACATCGATTATTTTGAAGTGATAAAACTATAAAAAAACTAATTTTAATTATAAGAATTCAATTTACAAAATTACATTATTTACCCACTAAAATATTTAAGTTTTATAAGTCTGTTCTTATGGGAAGTTCATAACATTAGTTACTTAGTGTTAGATCTAGTTTGATAACATAGTGTGCGACTAATAAAAACACGTTATTGTGTCAGATTTAAAGGGAAATTATTCAAATATAATGCTAAATACATCAACAAGATATATTTTTTGATCTTATGGCGTATCGTTGAACAATAACAGTTTAGTAGGTATAGATATGAGTAGACACAAGCAAAAAACACATCATAGTAAAACTAATACCTTCTCAGTTTTCTATCGAAACTAAGAAAGTGTATGAAAATTATTTATATATATACGTACCTCACCAGATTATTTTTTTTGATAGCGATATTTGTTTTTATGACTCCCCATTTTCTTAGCGACACTTATATAGGAATACAACAACAAAATTTGTTTCTTACTATGCAATGATAGGTTTGCAAATAAGATAAAAGCAAATAATCAAATATCATATATACAAGTATAATATCAAGTATGCATTTGTAACTATTTTTAGGCAGTTGGTATAGGTCTATGCAACTCTATGGACATTAAAATAGCTGCTGCGGATAACGCACATACGCGCACAAGCATGTCAGGTATAACAGCTTCTGTTTGAAAACCATTAGTTTGAGCGTACAAAACAACCCGTTTTTGTTCCATCAGTACAACGAAACTACTGATGCGATAAGAATTCTGAAAACAAATTTGAATTCAGTATCATGTGTTTTAGGTATCGGTCAGGCCACTTTTTTGAAATTGTGATTCCTTCAACGTAAAAATTTATTTTGAAAATTTTATAATTATTCGAAAATGTAAACTGTACTAAAGAGTTAAAAACATCAAAGTTTCAAAAATGTGGCCTGACCGATACCTAAGTGACATGATGCTGAATTCAGATATGTTTTCAGAATTCTTATCGCATCAGTAGTTTCGTCGTACTGATGGAACAAAAACGGGTTGTTTTTGACTAAAAAGTGGTCGGTACCCAGACGCCTTAATATAAATTTTTTGAAAATTTGACACTAGATCTGCCCATAGGGCGTATTTTGCACATAAATTAAACTTTTTCAACTTAATTTTTGAAAATATTCCGGATATATTGACACTTATATATATTTTAAATTAAAGCTTATGTAATATAATACACTATGAAAAAAAAAAAATTGAGATATAGATCGTCT